TCAGCAGAAGAAAAACACTATCTGACCCTCCTGCCTGATTGAAATAGGATTATACTAATTCTGATATAGAATCACACAGCCAAAATGATTATGAAAGGCTTATGTTTTAGCTAAAATAGTTGCCAATAGATAGATATCTATATTAACAAACTGGTGCTGCACAACTCTTATTAGTAACCTATTCTAGGGTCACAGAGTACTTCATGGAACTTAAGAAATTATCTAATAATAAATGGGCAAAATATCTACTTTTTTTCCCCAGAAGGTTCATTATTTTTAAACAAAACCAATGCTCACCAAAATTTTAACTGGCTTCAGCACTTTTCTAGTAATGACACCAGGGGCTCTTAAACGAATGGTTTCCAAAATACACCATTTAATTAGAGGGAGTTTCTTCAAGTCATCCTCAGACACTTTAATCTTATCTTTACCTGGAAAGAGAATTAAAAAAAAAAGATGGACTTAAAGAGGCCAGAAAATGATTTTATGTAAGCTATATAAGTTAAATACTGTCTCTGATATCAGGTGTTAATATTATTATTACTTTTGCATACCAAGTTTAGTAAGTTATTGACTCTTTTCATCATTTTCTTCTTACCAAGATAAAATGTATGGCATATAAAACTAAACCAATGCTGATTACTGTAATGTAATGGATTGGTATCCAACCTTGGTTCTCACAGTCCTATGGCTATCAGATGACTAAGATAGTCCCTGTCAGAAAGATGTTCAATTTTTACTCATTTCATTGTTTCTTGTCCAAATTCTCATTCCACTTAAGGAAAGAGCAACAAAAGATCGGCATCAAAAGTACAAAGTAGGGGCTTCCCTGGTGGCGCAGTGGTTGAGAGTCCGCCTGCCGATGCAGGGGACACGGGTTCGTGCCCCGGTCCGGGAAGATCCCACATGCCGCGGAGCGGCTGGGCCCGTGAGCCATGGCCGCTGAGCCTGCACATCCGGAACCTGTGCTCTGCAACGGGAGAGGCCACAGCAGTGAGAGGCCCGCGGACCGCAAAAAAAAAAAAAAAAAAAAAAAAAGTATGAAGTAGGAGATCTGAGAAGCCACCTGACTTACTACTTCTATCTCTTCCCTGCTGATTTGTTTTCGTTTTTGCTTTTGCTTTTTAATCATACATTTCAGAAAGCCCAAAAAGAATATTAGGAAAGGGGTGATGGGACACATGTATTTCATCTGGAATGACGAGCTCTCTAAACACAGGTACATCCAATATTCCTACTGTAAGTTGCATACCTTAGCTAATATGTAGATTGAGGCCATGTGGAAAAGGATTGCGGTTGATCTTTTTATGGACCAACATATGGTCAGGGCCTTCAGTCAAATGAGACAGTTTAATTAATGATATTTCAAGTAAAATGTTTACATTTTGAAAATTAAACAACCCAGCTTTCAATTTTGACAGTATTTGCTTAATAAAAGTCAACAACATGGTCAGTTTAAGTCAACTTGCACATTTTCCCCCCAACTGTACTGGGCATGAGTGGATGAGAGTGGAATGTGGGTCTCCAGCCACATTTCTCTTTGACTCTGGATGAGGCTTGTCCTAAAGCCAGCCCATCCTGCAGAAGAGGGTTTGGTGGGTGCTGCCTGGGAAACTTTCTCTGTCAGTACAGGTGGAATTCCCGAGGAGTCAGAAGCAAATGTTTCTGGTTAGTGGAGTCTGGGAACTAGGGTTTTTGAGCTCTCGTTCTATTAATTCCCATAGGGGCGTCTATACACTCCATTAAACTTGACAGATTTTTGAGCACTGAGCAAGAGGCAGGAGTTGAGTCAGGCTCTACCAGGGTTACAACAATGAAGGCATTCTCGCAATACACTCAGTCTAGGAGGTAAGAAATGAACACACAGTTAACAGGTACACCATGCAGGCAAGGAAACCGTTCTATGAGATATAAAATATTTGAAGATACTTAAAAGCAGGGAAGGTATTGAAATGCAGGATAACAAATTTTAGAAGACAACTTAAAAATGTATGAGGGGATCTGAGTTTCTTTTAGAGTGTACTTGAGTGAAAAAAAAAAGAAAAAGAAGACCATTGTCTACATGGCAGGTGACTGACAACCTATTAGAAAACTAAGGAAAACTCTCCAAGGGAGAAATGGCAGATGGGACTTTTAAGAACTGAAAATTCAACTTTATGTCATATACTCAATTTTAAGTTGTTTCTGGCTACTGTGTAATTTTCCCTTTCCTTGTCCTATATTTTTAATATTTTAATAAAGTCAGCTAACACATACCTTAAGTTAACACTTGGGGAAATAAAGATCTGGGTATGTCCAGCAAGCAATGCAGTATATGGAAAAGAGGCAGAACTGCTGAAGGAAAAAGAGCGGAAGTGGAGAAACCAGGAAACGCGAGACTGGAAGTCAAGAGAAACCCCGAGAGGCACAGGCCTCCACTTCTGGCCGCCTCCATCACTTCTCCCTCCAAAGATCCCTAGAACTCTGGGAGGGAGTTCAGACCAATTTCACCTTTATCTTGGAAACCAAGGTGACCCCAGCAAGTGAGGGCCCTTGCAGAATGGACATTACAAATAAATTAGCAGTAACCTACACTTCACATTCTAAATCTTACTTTAAAAATCTATTTAGAGCATCTGCATGAGACAAATTCACCAAACAATCCCTCTACTTATTTTTTGTATTTTACTTTACTGAAGCTATAGGATACAGAAAATAAATATTTCTCTAATTGATCAAGGATAAATGACTACCACGGGTCAGATTTTGTGTTTGAGATCAGATCTGTGTGACTCCAAAGTGACCAACCTATTATGAGACAGGCATAATTCTGGCCTTGAAAAAGTTTGGACTCTGGTAATAGTGAAGTTTCTGACTTTCTTTTGGAGAAAAAGTTTTTTATGAATTATTCTTAGGAGACTAATTGAATTATAAAGTGCAAAAAAATGTTTTGTAGTATACAATAAAGAAACAAAAGCTTGTTCTGAGTTGAAAACAAAATCTATTATGACCTACAAATGTAGAAGAGATGTAGACTACACTTGGAAAATAAATGTTTTGAAAAAATATTTTTAGTTTCTCAAGTCCCAGTGTGATGTAGGAAAAATAAGGTAGTATTCTCAGACTAGAAAAGAAAAAGATGTTGTTTCCAAACAACATCTTTAGGTTAAAGACCTTTCTTATTATAACTCTTAGAAAAGGCTCTGTACCCATACTGTACATATTTCAATGCACATCTGTAGTTTGTTCTTCCAGTGTTTTGACTCTAAAATTAGAAGGCTCCACTTGGAAGAATGCCAAGGTAATCATCAAAAGGGCTAGGGCCTAATGGAGTTGGGGACCAGTACAAAAGGCAGCCAGGGTGATTTGGGGTAAAATCACTATGGGTGATTTGGGGTAAAATTCAGAAGCCATCTCTTTAATTCTTGGCACAAATGCAATAAAAGTCAAACCAGGGGCTTCCCTGGTGGCGCAGTGGTTGAGAGTCCGCCTGCCGATGCAGGGGACACGGGTTCGTGCCATGGTCCGAGAAGATCCCACATACAGCGGAGCGGCTGGGCCCGTGAGCCATGGCCGCTGAGCCTGCGCATCCAAAGTGTCAGAGCAGCATTCAAACCTAGGTCTGTCTACACTTAAAAGCCCTTACCCTTGCTCCCTGGGTCCCAGCGCCTCCCCTGAGAGGAGAAACGAATAAGAAAGACACAGTCACTGTTTTAAAGGAGCTTGGACATAAGGACGCAAAATAACATCTGGATACAAATAACTATAATATAAGTTTCATAAGAGAGGATTTGAGTCTCAATGGCATTCATCCCCTCTTGCCTAGGGCTGGAGTTTCAGCTAAGCCCGGAAGGATGAGGAGCACTCACCCAGGCAGAGAGAAAAGTAACTTAAATTCCAAAATTAATTATAAAAATATGATTTCTTGGACCAAAAAAAAAAAAGGAACATGAATCAAACAGGATCACTAAAGCAGGTCCTTTGTTGAGAGATGACTCCTCTGTCTTCTTATTTCAAGCTCCCTCCCCTTCACACACACACACACACACACACACACACACACACACACTTATTCAATAAATAAATACATAAAATACAAAAATTCTGTTCCTATAGTCCTGAAGTAACATTATATCAAGATTTAACTAATCATTTTGGGAAAATAACCCATGTTTTGCGAAAAAAAAGGAGAATGACAGGCCATTTGCCAAGTCATTCATACCTTTGGAGACATAATTCAGAGGAGATTGAATCAGAAGGTGGGGATGAATACTGAGGAGGCCCTGTGCTTCCCCACAAATGAAAGACAGGTGTATATCTACCAAGGGACACACAGAGAAGTGAAGCAAAGAATATACTCCACTGAAATTTAAAGAGTGCATCCCTACACATTCTACCACCTCTTTATTTACTTTTGAAAGCAGGGATTCTCAGTTCTGTTTGCTGTTCTATACCGTGAGGTTGTCTTCCTTCACAGACGTTGTCTTTCATATTCACAGAACAGCTTATTTAAAATGTTCAAAATTAAGGTGTGTGCAAAAGGTCATAGTACACATGAAGGACAGTGAACTCGGATAAAAAATGCATGAGATAAAGGTTGAAAAATAAAGAATCTGATGTAATAACCTAAAGCAATGATTCCTACCAAAATTTGGTCGTAATAATTTTGCTAAAAAGCAATATCAAATAACAAAAGTTGGTGTTTATACTGTTATTTGGGGAAATGATGTAACAGCTTTGAAAAAATCCAGCATTTCTATGATTTCTCTTAAAAAGCAATGAAGCAGAGACATCAATTGCTGACAGAGAATAACAGTAGGAAGCTAGTTTTCTGGCATATTTTCTCAAGCAGAGACCTCAAGATAAGGTCCGGAAAAAAACAAGTCAGTTTTTAAAGAACAGGGACAAAGCTAAAGAGAAATAGTAAATAAAGAATTTACAGTATTCCAGAGGAATATAAAAGAAGTATCTTACATCCTTTCCTTCGTTTCAGGAATTAAACAAATTTTGAATATGATAAGTAATGTTCAAATATTCAATTAAAAAAATTATATCTCTATTCCAGGGATATTTTCATATATTTACAAAACTGCTGTTTTCTTCTAAGAAGAAACCTACATTCACTGGAAAAGGTTAGCACATCTCAGAAAGAGTAAGAAAGGATAAAATGTCCTGAAGTAAACAATATCATTTACAATACATTTTATATGTCCAATGATCCTATAACAGTTATTTATAGGCAATGAGAATGTACTGGTTACAAATTTCTGGAAATTTTTAGTGAGATGAAAATTAGTTTGGTGACTTGTCTCCCAAAAGGAGACAGCAATAAACCCCTTTCTGCAATATTCTTTTAAATGTGAAAAGAAATACTGTGAAACTTTAAGATTCTCTCTTTGTCTTTAACTTTTGACATTTTAATTATAATGTGCCTTGGTGTGGGTGTCTTTGG